CATAGCCTATGGACTTTTGGGGGCAGTGTTGTCCAGAACCAGTCCTTCAGCTTTGCTTCTCTGATCTGAACCCCCTTCATCAGTCTCTACGTTTTTAGAAAAGTCATGTTTGGTATTATAACCTAGACTCAGTTGTGCTTTAGGGAATTAAGAGAGAGACTATGTTGTATGGTTTAGCACTTTGCAACACAAACAAGTTAGTAGAGTAAGGGCACTAGGTTACTCAAGTCTGAATCTCCAGCTCTAGCCCATAATAGAAGCTCTTTAAATGTTTGCTAGATTGAATTTAATTGAGAAAGGAAATCTCCAGATTATGTTTATCCATGGACATTGCTTTGCTCATTCACATGCTGAATCATGTTGACCTCTTATGTGGGCGGAGTCTAAGTCTGACACTTTCATTTTTCCACCAACAGGTTTAGCGGTTCACCTATCTAAAATAAAGTAACCTTGGGCGCCTGGGTGGCTCAGTCGTTAAGCGTCTGCCTTCGGCTCAGGTCATGATCCCAGGGTCCTGGGATCGAGTCCCACATCGGGCTCCCTGCTCTGCGGAAAGCCTGCTTCTCCCTCTCCCACTCCCCCTGCTTGTGTTCCTGCTCTCGCTATGTCTCTCTCTGTCAAAAAAATAAATAAAATCTAAAAAAAATTAAAAATAAAAAAATAAAGTAACCTTTCATGCGACTTAATCGAGTTCCGAATATGGCCCAGCACCTGCCAAAATCTTGTTCAAAACATCTGATATTTGAGAAAGGCAGTCCAATGGGCATGTGAACCAGTCAGTGATCTGTGACACACACGCCCAGTTCTATCAGATACAATTAGAACATCATCAAGCTAAGCACCTGGGCCATAGTCCCTCAGCCTCCCTGGGCCAGGTGCCTTCACAGACCAGATAGGCAGGACGGGGCACTTGGAATTGAGCCTTTTGAAATACAGTCATCAAAGGTATTGTCAATTATGAAACTCACTGTTCTTAATAGAAGAATTCACATGATAAAAATCATATTTTAGTTATTTCACATACACAAAAAATGGTCTCTATAGATAACTGTAAGATTTCCTTTGTCAAAAAATGAAAACTATTATCATCCATGCTTCCCTTTCCGCTACATATATCAAAGCCCTTACGGCCTAAATTTATTCTCCAGTTGTATTCACTGGTTCATTCCAGCTGCTTGGTAACATTTGCTTTTTCTGTTTCATCCTTAGATGTCTTAATTTGTACAACTTTAATCTGCAAACCACCTGAAATCCTTTTGGAAACAAACGAGGTACAACACTCAAACACATAAATCCCTAATTCCTCCCAGAGATCAAAACCAAAAAGTACTAAATGGCAGGACCTATATAAGGATATTTTATTCAGTTATCTCCGCAAATGGGGAGTTGGATAATCATTACAGGAGAAAAGTCAATGACACGAGTGAAGATTAAGTTGGGTGGCCCATTATATTTGATGAAAAAAACCTCTGAGCCAGCAAAGTATTAATCTAGCTCAGTCAATAAAAGGAACTTTGCAGGCATGCACATACTGATTTGGCCTTCAGTTACTCCAGTGCAAAATGCTCCTTCCTGGAATGATAATCACTAGCAGCTCTGGTGTGTCTTAGTTACATCCTCTTCCCCAAGAGAGCTAGAATGATTTGCTAAGAGAGCAGGGGGTCACGCATCCATTCTGACAATGTCGATGCCGTGTCAGCAGACTCCGTTCACGGGGTGAAGAATGCGAAAGCTGCCCTGCAGCAGGAAGCAGCCACCCCACTACTTCCCTGCAGTGGGCCCAGGAGGCTGCCCAGGTCTTCATGCAAGATCCAAAAGGAAATATTTGGGGTCTCTTCCATAGACATCGCAACATTATAATACACAAATCACAACAGACATCATCATAAAAATCAAGGGAAGGTGCAGTAAACAGGCAAGTGTGCTCTAAATGGGTGACGGGAATTGCAACTCGGAGGTACACATTTGCCATTGGCGAGGAGCTGCCTTACTGCTGCATAAATTAGCTAGCCCTGCAGAGAAGCACAGAAAGCAATCTGTTCTGCTGTGTACTCCCTTCAGCGACACCATGTTTGTTTCTGCCTCGTATCTGCTTTGGAAGTGCATATCTACCAAATGCAGGAAATGATTCCAGAAGAGTTGTCCTTGCTCCTATTCCCCAGCTCTCTCTGCCCACAGGTAGCCATTGTCTAGGCCATGTCCTCAGCCCACAGAGAACTCTGAGACTGTATCTGCCTTTCTCCAATGATCTGTCGCAGCCAGCGAGCAGAAACCAGCAGCCCCCTAAGACAAGGACTGCTGTTGGTTTTTAATTTACCTGTAACCACCTAATCCTTGCCTCGCTCAGACCCGGTTCCTGAGGCTTATGATCCGCAGCTAGCTCTTAGCAAGCAGGGCTTAATGAGCCTCCCTTCATTGTTCTGACCAGGTAAAATCTGTTCCCATCTGTGTTCTGGGGCGTCTTAACTCTCCGAAGCTGTTCCAGCCACACCCCCGAGGGACGTGTGGTGCAGAAATTGCCCAATGAAACTGGGCAGGGAGAGGCCCTGGTCCCCAAGTGCAGATGCTGCGTTACTAGGTAATAGAATTGCTAGAGATTTGGAACCTAAAACGGGTTTCTTGAAGCTGTCTACAAAGACTAGTTCTTCTCAGACATCCAAAAGCAAGTCATCCATCACCAGCTGCAGAGGGGAGCCTTGTGTCAGGGTGTAAGGGACCGCGCAGGCCTCCCACGAAGTACAATCAAATTACACCACAGCCTTCAGCTCAGAGTGCTGGTAGGCCTCATTAACTAGGGATGACTGGAGAAAACGCTTTTGTAAATCCATAAAAAGTCTCAATTTTAACATATTTTAAACAAAAACACAATGTGATTATTTTAACCCACAGCAAGGTTAACAGCGAGGTGGGTCTGAGATCTCCATTGATCTTTAATCGATAAATAAGCATTCGTTTGTAATTAGCACGTTCATTGTTTTAATGTAAATGGATGGTTTGGAATTGCTCGAAGGAGTGTGAAAATACTGTAATTTGTCCTCTTAGATCCCTTAAACATTGCCCCAATCTTCTTATTTTCAGCAGCATCAGGAAGTTTCTGAACAATGGCGCAAAGACAAACCTCAAACGCTACCCTGACATAAATTTCCCAAATGTCCTAATTAGAAGATATGACTTAATGAGGTTTTCATTATACTGTGCATTACAGAAATAAAACCAGAAGAACGCATCTTCAAGACAAGAACTTCAGTTTTCGCAGTGACGTGCCCCTGTGCACGAGGTGCTTAACTTTGTCCTTCAAAATGTCAAATTAGGCTTCAGGTCAGCCATGTGACTGAATGCCAGGGACACGCACCGTGCAGGAATAACACGCTCTGCAGTGCCAGGAGCTGACAGGCGCTCCTGAGTCATTTAAACCGATCAAGGCTTTCAGCAAGCCGATGACAAGAGGGCAGGAAATAGCTTTTATATCAGTACAATCTGAGTTCTTACTAATTTTTATAGAACTAATGAGTTATAAGAAGAGAGGGAGAAATGAACACCTGGAGTCGCGTAAGGGAGACAGAAGGCTGGAGTGGCCGGGAGCTTTCCTATCCTGCCTTTCCTAATCTGTTGGCTCTGGGATCCTGGACCAGCCGCTTCTTATTGCTAAGCTTTGGTTTCCTCTTCTCTAAAACATGGATAAATAACACTTTTCTTAATATTCAAATAAATGAGATAAACGTGCATAGCCTGGCATCTGCCACACAGGAGCGACCTCAAAGATGGTATGGCTTCTACTGCTGTTGCTAAAGCTAGTCCTAGTATATGGCCTCTCTCCGATCTCATCTAACCCCATTTTCCTCCCACGAGTAAGGTTCTAGCAAAAACACCACCTCACACGCTATGCTCGAAATCCCAGTGCTGATGCTGTACTTGCCAACAACGTGTCGGGCCCTGTACCCTTCTAATTCCCACAGTCACCCCCTGAGGGAGTGGTGATATTATATTATTGTTATTATTCAATTTCATAATTCACACACCGTTTCATCTTATCAATGAGGAAACTGATGGACCCCAAGAAAATTTAAAGCCAAAATTGGAACCCAAGGAGTCTGAATCCTGAGCCCATACTATCAGGCTACTCCTCTATCCTGCTTCGTCCTTCCTTTCTGTTTCTATTTCCGATGATGAGGTGCCTCAGGATCAGGCCCAGCACCAGACTGGTGTTTACACTCAGAACACTACTACTCTGGACGGCTGGGCTGCTATCGAGGGATACACATGATACTGTAACTCCTTTCTCCAGGAATATGAACTTAGTCGGGGTACGGAAACTTGTGACTCATTATGAAAGTCTGTAGGGGACAGACGATAAAAGCAAAAGACGGTCTCTGTGTTTTGGGTTCTGAAGTTTGGATCTCATCCAGATATTTCACGCTCTTCTCATCTGCAAGGTCAAGACCCTGCTAGCTAAAGCACTCTTAGTGCCATCTGACCCATTTCTAACAGTCTCAGAAATTTCTACCCGGGGAAGGGTTTGTACTTTCCAGTTGTGATTCCTTGAATTGCATCTGCTACATTCACGTATATATGTATCCTCCCCCCACCGCCCCATGATCATGGCTTATTTTTTTTTTTTTAAAGATTTTATTTATTTATTTGAGAGAGAGAGCACATGAGAGGGGGGAGGGTCAGAGGGAGAAGCAGACCCCCTGCCGAGCAGGGAGCCCGATGCAGGACTCGATCCCGGGACTCCAGGATCATGACCTGAGCCGAAGGCAGTCGCTTAACCAACTGAGCCACCCAGGCGCCCTGATCATGGCTTATTTATCCTGTTAGGAAACAGGCACACCTGTATAAAAGCAAGAACATGCAGTAGGAGAAGTCGAAAATCACAGCTTTCGCTGACTAGTAGGTAGGACCTAGAGGTCAGCGGTCCCAACCCCCTCCTCCTGTCAGGCAAGGAGGGCTCAGAAGGCTTTCACATGCTTTCAGGGCGGGTCCTAGCGCCCTGCTCTTACCCTCGCGGTGAAGTCCACAGCAGCCGCTCGGTTTAACAGCAACGTGGCTACGTTGATATTTCCATAGTGAGCAGCTATGTGGAGCGGAGTGAAGCCACTCTGCAAAGAAAACATAGCAGACATTCAATTGATTCCTGCTGGCCCCTTGTCCGACACGTTAATACCATAACCCTGCCCAAATCAAAGGGAGGAAGCAAAATATGCTGAGGTCCACATTCCATTCTGTACTAGGTTTCTTTCAATTAGTGCCAATTGTTCGTAGGGTTTCAAACAAACGCCCAACTCATAGGCAGAGGAATAGCCAGGAAGGAACCAAGGGTGCAGACTGAATAATTTTAGTGACTCGGCAGCAGAACTATACAGAAGCCAACGTTTCAAAACATCAAAATAGGGCTGACAAGAAAAATCTATTGCTTACAGAAGGTTTGATTAATACCACTGTTTTATTATCAATGATAGAATTGTCCATTGAAACTCTTTGTCGAAATTCAATTTGTTTAATATATTCAGTATGGAGTAAATGCCAATTTTAATGACAAAAGCAATTTTGGGGGAGAGAACTACAATTGGTCTTGTATAACGGGTGATTGCATTTTAGAAAGAATCCACAAGCTCGTCTCTTTATTAGCAAATGCCTATTCATTTCCTCTAGCTTAGTCATACCAAGGTCATTTTACTTCCTTAAAAAATGCTAAAACATGCAACGATTCACTTAGTCCCCAAAGATTGAAACCTTATAGGAGCTAGATGCATTTCTAGATTGTTAGCAAGCTTCTTAGCCATGCTAGCTATCTTACTGAGTCTTGTGGGGAGGGTGGGAATATTGGTACCATTCAGAGGTAACTTTCATTTTGCTGACACCACTGAGGCTAAGTGTCATGCAGAACTCTAAAGAATCAGTCCTGGAGGAGTAGAATGACAGGGTTGTCTGCAGCTTTAGGTAGAGCTGATAAGCATCTAAAGCATCAAAACTCTTCATCTCACCCAACTCTATTGCGACATCCTTCATTCTCAAGGATTCCTCATTCTTCCTTTCCAACACCAGGTTCAGCTGCAGAAAGCCCTGGTAATCGAACTACTATCTTCTCTGGCACATGCTACTTTGGGGGCGGGGACATAAAGCAGGTATCTAGCCTACAGAGGCGATGCAAAGAAGGAGGGAAAGAAATGAGGCAGCAGCACTAGGTAATGGGAAAGTGATGATGCAGACAGAGATTATATGCATATGTTTATATATATATATATATATATACCTCTGTTGTTCTATTCACCACCATCTAGGTTAACACATTTGGAAGCAAAGAAGAGGAAAAAATGAACGGTTAGTTCGCTCTCGGTGACATGGACGGCAGCAAGCTCATGGCAGCTAAGTAATGAGGATGGAAGCTCTGGTGGGAGCACAAGAGGCACAGAAAGAAAGCTAGACCGAATGGAGGGCTACACAATGGCCTGTTCCAAATGCCACATTTCCTTCACAGAGACCTTCAGGTCATACATGTCAAGGCAATGGCAACGTTCGGCTGGGACTCTGGCTGCCGGCACGCTCTCTCCACAACTGATCAATACTCAGTGCATTGCCTCTCATCTCAGATACCAGCCAAAGGTTTATTTGTGCACATTGTGGTTAGCATTTTGTAATTTTCCACCCTGGTGTTTGAGCTGAAGTGTTGGATACATTCAAAATATACGTTAGAAGGAAGGAAACTACCAGGTGCCTATAGATGGACCTTGGATGTGGCCTCCCTGTTAGCATGCATCAGGCAGCATGCACGGTTACCTCCTAGCTGGAAATGCTGAGGGGGCCGCGCCTTCAATCGGCTGACTTGGACACGTACTGTCCTTGCTCCCAGTGAGGCTAAGGCTTTGGGGTAAGCTTGCCAAAAGGCAGACCAGGCATTCTTACAGCGTGGGTGCTAGCGCAGGAGAGCGCATGGCCGGCTGCCCGCCTTCGCGCCTCACCTTTGACTCCACGTCTGCATTGTTGTCATTCTGCAGCAGCAGGGCCGCGGCCTTCGTGTCATCTTTTCGGGCAGCGATGTGAAGAGCTGGAAGACGCACTTTTCCTTTAGTGTCATTCTCTAGCAGGAGGGAAACGACTTGATCGTGACCTTGTTGCAACGCTACGGCCAAAGGTGTGAAGCCATCCTGCAAATAAATGGATGGGTCAAGACTGGCCCTAGCGGACATGTTCTTTTTGATTAACAAATAAGAATGCAACCGAGCGACCAATTTTTGTTTAAAGCTACCATATTCAAGTAGACAGATATGTGAAAAGACACATATATATATGTATATGTCTATAAATACTTGTTTATATTTATATATTTACCAAAGCAGAAAATAATAAAAAAATTTGTAATAAGTTTTTGGGATTTTTTTCTGTTAAAAAGTAATACACATTAATTGGGTAAATCTTGAAAATACACAAAAGTACTACATAAAGAGGAAAAAGATACCATAATTTCAATATCCAGAAAATAACTGCAGTGAAAACAATATTTCAGGTTAAATCCAGGTAAATTTTTCCAAGGATCTTATTTAATTAAGCTATAAAAATTTCCCCTGATATTTCAAAACTGGGGGAGAGGCCTGTCTGCTTCCTCATTGCACCTTGATGCCTAGCACATATCTGGTGGCCACTCTGTATATGTTAATTGGTGAACCATAGTAACCGTCGTTTTAAGAAAGGTCTTTATGAAACACTCTTGGCCTCTCTGACCAGTGAAGGGAGAAGACACAGGGATCATGCAAAACAGGACTAGAATAAATTGAGATATACACTCAGGTCTGTGCATTTTGAGCCTCCCCACTGTATTGCCCTGGGACTTGACAGAGAGAAGACAGCTACAGATTTTGCTGTGGTTAAGCAATCGGTGGATGATCTAAGGTTACTGACAGTGGAATAAACAGCATGGAGTAGAAAATCCTAAAACTGGCTCAAATTTGAATTCTTCTATGCTTTTACTGTCATGCACTCAAAAGAACATTTATAAATTATTTTTATTAGAGAACTGGCAAGTAAGGTACTTATTTTACTTGGGCATGATATTTTATATCGGTAAGCCTTGTGCTACAAGAAGAGGGCTACTCCAGTGGAAGGGTGTTCATACGGGAGAAAGAGAAAATCTAGTGACTTGCACACTAGTGTCTTCTTGGTCTTCCTAAAAGACCACTTTCATCATTTTTTTCCTTGCTGGAAAATCAGACAAGGGCTCCTACCATTTTTTGACTGAATGCACATCAGTATATTTATATTTAAGGATGTGTAAAATATTGGCCCCAAACACCTAAGGGACACTATTGCCCAGATTCTTCTCATATAAATCCTTTCCTGCGGAAAGGTCTCCTTATTAACTGCGGTGTGGAAACTATTTCTACGCTGGCTTCTATACTCATGCCATGCCCCCACCCTGCAATGTCCTCCGCCTCACTCACATATACAAATTCTGTCTATTCTTCATGCTTCGAGAACCAGCTGAAGTTCCATCTGCCCCTTTCAACTTTTCCAGGGAGACCCAATAGAGGGAAAGGATGATCATTAACGTAGCTAGAAGGACTTCCCCTGCAGCCTTAAGAAAGGCTGAAAACAACCAAGACATTACCAAAAGAACATCACAGGTTTACCCTTAAGGGCATGAAGTTTCGAATGCAATTTAATGTTATGAGAAAAGTAATCTACATAGCTATGTAAATATAGGACCTCATTTTCATAAAGATAAATATGTGCGTTGTGTACATATACCAAAAGGTCTTAAGGAGTAAACAAAATGTTATCTCTAGGGAAAATTAACAGTGGCTTTTTCTTCTTTTTGCTTTTCACTTTACTTTCTCATTTATGTAATCTATTACTATTACAAAACAAAAGAAAAAATATTTTTTAAAGGACAGAATGGTCAAAGGAAAATTGTGTATTAAGAGTGAACGTGAAACCTGGACAAAATGTAAGGGGTAAAAATGATAGCCCGCTTCTGGTTCTGAATCAAAACTAAATGGCTATATTTTCTGCTAATATGAACTTTTAAGCCCATAGGGCCTATACATAAAGGAAACTACTTTGCACCAGAAAATAAACTGCAACAGAGACCACAGCACCCACAAGAATGTGCTTCCTGCAATAAGCCAATTAAAGAGACAAAGATACCAGCTCTAAGGTGTCAATAGCTAAAATTAGTAGCTCCCGATTTTGGCTCCAAACCCAGTCTAAACAGTTTGGTTCTCTCTGTGCAGTTATACTTAAAAGAAAAATACATGGGGCACTGGGGTGGCTCAGTCAGTTAAGCAGCCAACTCTTGATTTCAGGCTCAGGTTATGATTTCAGGATCCTGAGATCCAGCCTCGAGTCAGGAGGGGAATCTCCCTGCACTCAGTGGGGAATCTGCCCGAGATTCCCTCCCTCTGCCCCTCCCCCTGCTTGTCTGCTCTCTCTAAAATAAATACATAAATCTTTAAAAAAAAAAAAAAGAAGAAGAAAAATACAAGCCAAAAGGAAACATGACAGAAGCTCCATGAGAACCTCCATGCCTTGTGGAGTATCTGGAACATAATGGGTGCTTAATAATTACTTGTGGGGTAAATGAACAAATCCTTTAACCTAATGCTTCAGAATCTTAATTAGTAAAAGAAGGAAGATATATATATATATATATATATATATATATGGAAAAGATAGGGTATACAGTACATAGTTAATACAGAAAAGGTTTTAAAAACCACAATCAGGCCAAGGACGTAGCAGTAAGTTGGACTTAACCTGCTTCTAAAGGAGAGATACTTAGTGATCTGTACATCACAGTCTAAAAAGACTACCTTCTCCTTCACAGGCCAAGAAAGTACTATGAAATCACTTTCATTGGGATATTTATATTATTTAGTATTTCCATCAAAAAATGGGAATGGATTTTTCTCTTATCCAACAAGTAAGCACTGCTCTATGCCTACCAAATGTGTGTTTTCTTATCGACCAGTAGTTACTTCTTACCTACCCTTAAGAATATTATCACAAAAACAATACATTCTCATGATAAAAATCTTCAACAGTATGAAAGGGTATAAAGTGAAAAGTAAATCTCCCTCCCACTGCTCAGAATAAACCACTGAGAACAATATGGATATTTTCTTCTATCAGCCTCTATAATCTTGCCTCATTTTTGACAACGCTGAATAGCATTTTATTGTGTGAGTATCACAATATTATTAAACAGGTTTCCTACTGGTGCATATTTAGGTTCGTTCCAGTTCTTAAAAAATTGTTCATACTAATTCTGTTGATGAACTTCTTGTATACTGTTTTTGTATCCCCCTCTAATATATCTGTAATGTAAATTCTTAGAAGAAACAGAATTGCTAAGTAAAAAGGTACATAAACACTAACTTTTGACAGTTACTGTTAAATGTTCTGCAAAAGTGTTGCAACCAATGATCAACTTTACCACCACTGTAGGAAAGCTCCCATTTCTTCTACTCTTCAAATTCTTTTTCTCAACTCCAGGGCGAAAGACTGGATCTCATTTTTTAACTGATTAATAAATTAATATTTCTTTGACTATGAGTGAGGATGTGATATTTTCATACATTTATGGTCATTTGTACTTCTTTTTGTGTGAACTGCCTCTTCATTTATTTAGTGGTTTCCCCAGAAGGCACGATCTCAAAAGCTGGGTGAGGTTATATGCAATTCCTCTATCACGATCTTTCTTGTGCCATTTGGAAAACATGTCAGAATTTAAGAAGAGCAGTATTATGACAGGGATAATCCTGCATCTGTTTTCATTATTTTGTTAAAAATAGAGAATACTCAAATGTTGATCTTTTAATATTAGCAATATAGTTCTAATGATACACTTCACAAGGGAGCACAATCTTCCATCCAGTTTAGTTTAAAAAATAAACTGTATTACGTTAGGACAGTCCCAATGACTTAAGTAACTTTTTATTTTAAAACAACTCTTCTATTCAAGACTGCAAAAATTTCTTCACTACCATGTTTATGTAACACTTAAAAACATATAATAGTTTTGTTGAAAAATGTGAATTAAATCTAGTTAACTATGTAAATTCAATCATTATAATTATGCTAACTTATATTTGGAAAAAACAGTTTTCAAACTTGTACTACAAACATGTTTCAAAAACAGTGGTTGACTTTGAGGCAAAATTATAAGAAACGGAAAAGTGTTCTAAAGCAAATATGGAGATATTAAACAAATAGCTCAATTATAAGGTAGACCCAGGCATTTAAGAGCAGAAAAGGTATCTGTGCAATGGAAGATTCTTTAAAAACTGAAAATAGACTTTCTAGTATATTTCATAAACATTGAAGAATCCTCACATTAATATATGACTGTAACTAAATTCTAGTGGGACAAATTTTCCATGCTATAACTCCAGGCTTACAAAATGTCCTGCACCCATGTGAACTTACCCACAGGAAGAACCAGCATGTCTTACCTCTGTGGCTAGGCTCTGGCTTGCACCATTGTCAAGAAGAAACTTGACAACTTCGAGGTGGTTTTCCTGGGCTGCCATATACAATGGCGTGAAACCATTCTGCAAAAGAAGAAATGAAATGTTTCTATGTTTGTCTGTGGCTTTATTATAGGGCCAATCTAGTTTTCCATGGTACTGATACTATATGTTCCAGAAAATGCTTGTGTATAATAATTTTAATGATACTTTAATGCAGATATTCATATTTATTAAAAAGCCTAAGCATGATAGTTTAACCAGAATTTAAGTGTATTTCAAAATTACAGTTCATAATTTATAACTTGAGTATAGTTCATAGCTAATAGTGTATAATTCACACCTATCCACTTTAGATAAATAAGTACATTTGTTTAATCATCAGCCTCTTACTGAGCACCTACCAGGAGTAAAGAATTTTCCTAGATGATATGAGGATATGAAGAAAAATACATTTGGTCATTGTCCCAATGAGTTTTTTCCCCCATACCAATAATTACCTACTTTAAATAAAAGGTTTAATACTTTCACATAAAATTAAGAGTCTGAAATATTTCCTAATTTGGAAGGAATTTATATTAATTTTAAGGAGCTTCAAACTCACCACAGGTGACGTGACTTGGAGCAAAGGAAAGAATATCAATATGCAAAAGGGTATATACTTCAATTTCAAAACAGAATTCAATTAGTAGTTGATTTTTTGTAAGTTTCCTGCCTTGCATTTTTTTTTTTAGCAAAGATGTGGTAGTTTCATGTTCAGAATACACACATATGCATTCATATGTACATATATGTACACACACACTATGTATAGGTATGTATTTATGTTTGTCTGAAATGTGGCCAACTGCCAAAGAACCTGGATTCAAGTACATGAATGTGTACATTGCATCTTAAGCTTTTTATTAAAATATGTTGCTTGGGTGTCTGGGTGGGTCAGTCCATTAAGCATCTGCTTTAGGCTCAAGTCATGATCCCAGGGTCCTGGGATCGAGCTCTGCACTGGGCTCCCTGCTCCACGGGAAGCCTGCTTCTCCCTCTTCCGCTCCCCCTGCTTGTGTTCCCTCTCTCACTGTGTCTCTCTGTGTCAAATAAATAAATAAAATCTTTTAAAAAAATATGTTGCATATGTGTGATTGTTCTCTAGAACAATTTATTTCACATCTATGAAATACTTTCATATGTTGTCTATGTAATATTTTTAAATCTTACTGCAAAACATATATCAAAACATAGTTTTCAAACTATAGCAAATTTTCTTTGAATAAATTTTTCAGAATACGGGGCGCCTGGGTGGCTCAGTCATTAAGCGTCTGCCTTCGGCTCAGGTCATGATCCCAGGATCCTGGGATCGAGCCCCGCATCGGGCTCCCTGCTCCGCGGGAAGCCTGCTTCTCCCTCTCCCACTCCCCCTGCTTGTGTTCCTGCTCTCGCTATCTCTCTCTCTGTCAAATAAATAAATAAAATCTTTAAAAAAAAAATTTTTTTTTTCAGAATACATTTCTATTTAACTGAATGTTCTGGAAATTTTATTGTATACATTATACAATTGGAAAGAATAAAATATATTCTAAATAAAATGTATCGACTATTACTCAAACTTTTGTGATTCAAAAGGTTTAGGTTCATCATTATAAATATCATTTACTATATGATTACCTTACTTATCTATAATTCAGGCTCTGGTGACATCACTTTTTTGGCTTTTAGCTGCGAATTTAAAAGTAAGTTAAAAAGATCCTTGAGCTGATGATAAAAGTGATGTCACATAACAAATCTACCATTCTCCCAAATCTACCATTCTTATTCATCAGAGGGTTCCTCTATTCTACTTATTCTATTTTACACATAATTGTAAAAAGCTAGGTTATCCAGTTGCCAAGCTCCAAATCAGAGACACGAAATTAGAAGCAGTAGAATATGACACAGCATTCGAGCTTCTTCCCTTTAAATTATCTACCTACTGACATCACTGAAGTTCATTGTTACTCTGTTCTATCATGAAAGGTTTTATCAACATCAAACATGGAACATGGAATAACTGCAACGCAATATGTGTGTACACGTGTGTGTGTGCATGTTTGTGTGTATGTGCCTGGAGTGTTTCATCTTTGTCACTCTGCCCAGACCTATGAGGGAAACTGACAGGTAGTTTAGGATTACTCTTATATTGCTATTTTTTTTTGTTTCCTTCATTTGACCAAAATGGAAGATCATTTTATCCTTGGTTGAATTAAATATCCTTTAAAAACCAAAACAAAAGAAAAAAAAAACTATTGAAAATATTAAGGAAGAAGAGAAAGATAAAAACCAGGGTGGATTTTTGTGATAGCTCAGTGAACTACTAGGTATCTGTCTTTCTTCATCAGCTGAAATTTCTAGATGGAAGATTCAGATTTTAGGAGTAAAGCTCTTAAGAAAAATCTTGAAAATGGATGTTATTTTCTCAACTGCAGGGCAGGGTTTTGCTGTAGTTCACGATTATCTAAGGAACACTGGTCTATCTATAAGTATCTGGCTTCTGGCCCAATGTATGCAGACTGTTCTTGAGTTTATCTTCCAGAACCAAACCTTTCATGACCCAGGAAGATAATCCAAGACTAGGTACTGAGGTTTAAAAGATGCTGTTTTTACAGACCTGGAGCTTCCAAAGAGTGATTCTTAAGAATCACAACTTTTAAATCATTCCATATGCCCTTCTCACAACAGCAGAGTGAACTGTGGAACTGGAATTACTCAAAAATAATATGTAGATAAGGATCACAACCAGATTGAGTCCTGTAATTCATTGTTTTCCCACAATTGCTTCTCTTTTTTTTTTTTTTTTTTTGAGTTCTGCCATTCTATTGCATTGCCCAAAAGCTGGTCATTTTTGGAATGGTCACATTCTTTCATACTTTTTATTTTTATAAATTTTTATTGATATATAATTCACATACCATAAAACTCACCCATTTAAAGTGTACAATTTAGTGGGTTGTAGTATATTCACAAACTTGGGCAACCATCCCCACTATCTAATTCCAGAACATTTTCATCACTGCAAAAAGGAACTCTGTACCATTAGTATTCACTCCCATTCACCGCTCCCCATGGCCTCTGGCCACCACTCATTGCCTTCTATCTCTCTGAACATTTCATATAAATGGAATCACACAATATATAGTGTGATGTATTGATATACATTGAATGGTATTGAATGGCCTCATTTTACTTCTGCTGTTCATATTGATAAAATGTTTTTGGTGTTTTTGTTTTTTCCTCCATAATGGAAATTTCCATTTTATAGGGGGTATGTATAGGCTTGTGTGTTTATTTTGTTTTGCTTTAGTTTTGGTCACCAAGCATCTGTTTCCCCTTCGGGCAATACTGCTCTGATTTTCTTTAGGGGACTACCTCTTACCCTGAAATGTAGGTAGCATGTGTCTTGGCCATCTTTGAGAAAAATTAGCCTGCCCTTCTTCAACCACAGGGTAAACATATGTGCAGGACATCTTCTGTTTGCTCTTCCAGGTCTATTCTCTTTCTTAATTCTGTTTTCTGCAAAGTCCCCCCTCCCCACCTTGAACTGGTCTGTAAAGACCATATCGAAAGGCAACTCTACCGTATAGCTTCTGATTACTCTCACCCTAACTATCTAGTTTCCAAAGCTTTCCAAAAAGCTTCTTTAGCTTTCTATTCTATGTGTTCTCCACATAATTTCAATAAATTCTCTTTTTTGCTCAAGTTAGTTTTAATCCCAATAACACCATTTAATACAAATCTCATCTATCAAGAAAGGATCAACATGGCATGAGAACACATGTACACTATTTAGTTATGGTTCTAGGGAGTAATTATAAGCATCCTTTGGAAAGACTGAATAAAAACATTACCATTACTCTCTCTTACAAAGAGGCTTAGGGCATAAGTAATTCAATGTGTTGTCATGGGACAACCTACAGCTGAAATGATTTTTTGTAAAATAGTATCTGGATTGGGAGAATGGTCCGATTTCAGAAAGAATGTTATTTTTCTCTTAAGAGAAAAGAGCATACCACTGTTTTGTTTTGTTTTTAAATTAATTTCCTAACTTAGGAAATTTCCAAAACAAAGAGCTGGCCAAAATGGAACATATGGGTGCCCAATTTACAGTTTTTTTTTTCTGTAGCAACAATAGACTCAATTTTCAAAAGGCAGAACAGCTCAAGATTGAGAAAGTATGCTCTTCCATACCTGATCTTATCCATTATCTTCAACACCTTTTGCTCGGAACATTTATTGTGGTGTTATCAAAAGCATGCAAATATGCAGACCTATAAATTTATAGATCATACCGAAGCATGCTGCCTAGTATCCACCCAAATAAAGTAAAGAAGAAAGTCCTCCTGTTATTCCATTTAAGTAAGGGCTGACATTTCATCCATGAACTTTTCTTATCAATCCTAGGTTCCTAGAGTCAGCCTGTGTATATCATGAAGTGCTCCTATGAATTAAAACGTTAAGGGCAGAGCATCAGATTTACACTGATTTACATCTGATATTGATTTTTGTGAATGTTGGTTAGATTACAGGTGTGCTATAAGGTCAAAGGACAGAGAGGCTCTATCATACCTATCTTCTGACTTCATCAAGACCTGACCTCCCCACCAAAGGAAACATTTAAAAACAGAAAAAGACCAAGGAGGCACTGCTTTAATCAAAGGGTCTTATCTTTTCTGAAAAGGATCCACAGAAATGCAGTACCTGTTTCACCCTGGATGGAGATGGGTGGGGACTGGGCAGATGGGGGTCAGGGATGGGAGGAGGCCCTCCACTTTGTCTTTTCATGCATTTTGATGGTAGAACCATGTGAATGTATTACCTATTCAGAGTTTAAATAAACACAATATAAAAATTTTAAAAAACAGCACCCCCCCAAAAAAAACCCCATAGGGTCTTCTCACTGTTAATACTACTATGAAAATTTAGAATATTTTGATAGTTATGGTAAAATATTATTTGAAACAGACTTTGCTTCTTGATAAACACAGTTTGTGCCTTATATTACAGAATAAAGACAGAGAAGGAGAAAAGACTGAGGGCTGTCATTTGATGTGGCAGTTTGAGATTTTCCAATTGCAAACACTAGTAATCCTTGTTGACATATTTAGCACAAAGTATGAAGGACTTAATCATTGTAGAGTTCTTTATAATCACAATTTAACTATCCAACCCAATTTCTTTCTCAGGGTAGGCCTAAATCATTTCTGGAATGTTAAGTAATATAAAAAAGAGTTAACTAACTTATTAAGATATAAGATCAAAGCAATGACAAAAATTAGTTTAAAGTAACATCTAAAACTTCTTAGCTTACAGACCCTCAGTTTATAAGATCAGAACTTGATATTGTCCAATTTCATTTTTATTTTCAAGATAAGGAGAATTTTTATATGTAAGGAAGGTGGGGGACTCTCCTGGCACTAGTTCTTGTTGGCTATTACATATTACCTATTTGGTTAAAACTTCACTCAGACAGGGATGCTGTCTTTCTTGAATATTAATACTCCTGTGATGCTTTATGTGCTGACGCCTAAATGGAATTTAATCTCATGGCATTATCGCTTGTCGTTCTTTGTAAGAATTCCTATTGAAAAGCTGCTACCAGGAGTTATCATGGAAACCCCATTGTGCTGCATGGCCATCTTATTACTTATTCTGTCCAAGGAATGACGCGACTCAGAGGCACAGGGGGGCAGGTGTCCAGATGAAGGGGGCCTGCTTCACTGCGAACTGTCGGGGCAGGGCATGCCAAGCACAGCTACAAGGAACAGGGAATTCTGCAGCCCATGTTCTTCTCCGTCACTTCATCATCACTAGGGAATGTGTATAAACTGAAATCAAATCGGGTCAGGATTTGATTTCAATTGCGGATTCTCTCCGACATCGTCAAGGAGGTTTAAAATTATGGCTGCTCTAAACATTGGTCAGGAATGTGTGAAATGTTTAAAAGAAGGAAATTTATTTCTTCTCCCTTGGGGGGATAAAGGAAATGAAAATGGATTAAAGAGTTCTCCCACTCTCTCAGAGCTTAACACTAGTTATTTTCCAGTAAAAAGATGTTTGAAAAGCATGATGCTTTGCTTATAGTCAGCTGGTCTGTATCTCTATCAATGGGCTATACTTGTCAATATTCAACTTTATATCATTCCCTTCTGGAAAAGCATTATTACTCTAAGTAAACCCTCCTAGGGAATCAGCATAAGTGGACCACGTATCAAAGGTCCAACCACAAGGAACTAGAAAAGAATCAGATCAGACATACAAGAAATCACGTGTTTGGAAGCGTTGTGCGGTTGCTTCTCCATGACACTGATATTTAACAGCATCAGCATCATGTTACTATGGCCGTAGTAACCATGGAGGAAGTCGCCCCAATTCCGTGGACCCATAAAATATAGGAGGCTCCTGTTAGCCAAAGATAACCAGTACTGAAGATGGCTGGGGAAATCGAGTACACTTAAAAATGGAAATCAAGGGCGCCTGGATGGCTCAGTTGGTTAAGCAACTGCCTTTGGTTCAGGTCATGATCCTGGAGTCCCGGGATTGAGTCCCGCATAGGGTTCCCTGCTCAGCAGGGAGTCTGCTTCTCCCTCTGACCCTCCCCCCTTCATGCTCTTTCTATCTCATTCTCTCTCTCAAATAAATAAATAAAATCTTAAAAAAAATGGAAATCAAAAGGCCATAGTAAATAATGAAAAAAGTTAGATTGAGACTTTATTCTAAAAGACAAAACTAGCACCTGTAGAAGTTTAGGAATTAACAAAATATTGGTTATAACTGAAATTCATGTATGAGTTCTCAAAATGAACAAAGACTAAACCAAATAGGATTTCTGTGGAGGAAAAGTAAAATTTTTCCAACAAAATCATATGATAGCTTGATGTCCTTTATTTTTTATTTTCACAGCATAAGTAAAAAGACAGCCTTTTTGCAAATGCATTTGCAAACCAAAGACCTCACCTAGGTTTTTTTTTTTTTGGTCATTTAATCTTTTGATTTTCAAATCATTCTCATTTGAAACACTTATCAGGAAATCATCCTAATTCTTCACACATCGCTAGAAAACCACAATCCACGCTTAGTTGTGCACCCAGGGTTCTCCAACACCATCCCCCTAACTTCATGTCATCCTGTGTCTTTTGCAAAACTTGCGGTTTTGTTCTGTAATCAATTTGTTCAGTATCCAACTGCCTGGAGTACAGATGGACAAACAGGAGTACATGAAGGCATCCAATGAGAAGGAACACTTGAGTAAGGACCAGTTTTAAAAATGGTCAGGTTCTTAGCAGATATTTCTGTGTTATGATGATGTTTGCTTTCCTATATAACCTCATTTCTGTGGAGATTGAAATAATGAAAAATTCGGATTATGAGGACCATTTTTAAACCTATTTTAAAGTAAATTCTTTTAGACTGAAAGTCTACCAAATGATAATCTAATTAGAACCTCATGCAAGACTCAGAGCACATAGGAGGTCCTACTGAATGAATCATTAGCTTATATCTGAAACAAAGAATCTGGAAATTTTAATTTGGGGAATTCTAAAGTTTATTCTTTTTTTTTTTTTAATCTGTTTCAGGGAACAACAATGAGGCCTTAGTTACTAAACAGGAATTAAGCAGTATCTCCCTTTTTTCAACTAAATAAAGCACTGAAGTATAATGAACTTTTAAGAGCATTTCCTCATATATAGGAATTCTCATTTCCTTTGTACTGAGACTACTGAGGTACTGAGAGTAGACTGAGCTAGCATCCTAAAATAGTGTAAGACTCTACATTACAGATATTCCCTAAACATTTGTGTCTATGACTACCAGTCCAGTTTCATAGATGGATGACTTTAAAAAATCTCTCTCACACGTAAAGAGGATATATATGAATTTAAATCATTTGTGACAATTTATTCATTGAATTGTATTCTTAGAGGATATAGGACTTGGCCCAAAGAACATCTATAAATTATAACAACATTTATTTGCAGTAGAGTTGTAGGTTTACCTGAGATTGTGCATTGACATTGGCTCCATTTGTAACTAAGACTTTTACCACCTCCGCTTGCCCAGCCAAAGATGCTATATGCAAGGCTGTGTTTCCTTTCTGTAAAATGAAAAGATACATCAACTCACCCTCTTTATTTCTCTATTTCAACATTTTATAAAATATGGAATCCCTCCATGTTTATAAGTTTCCCAAAGAGAACATGGTTGACAAGTATCTCATGAGAAGCTTGCCCTGATTCTTATCAAGGGCTGAATCCTCACTGAATTTGTCAAGTGACATAAAAAGCATTAAATGTGGGATACTGACCTTCGTAGCTGCATCCACATTGGCTTCTCTCTGTAGCAGTTCAGAAACAACTTCTACATGGCCTTCTTTGGAAGCAAGATGGAGAGCGTTCAACCCGTTCTGATTAAGAGTGAAGGGAAAGCTTTACTCAGCAGGTTGAGAATAGAGCAGCAAACTTTAGTCTACTTAGAACTCTGAAGATCACGGGGCGCCTGGGTGGCTCAGTCGTTAAGCGTCTGCCTTTGGCTCAGGTCATGGTCCCAGGGTCCTGGGATCGAGCCCCGCATCGGGCTCCCTGCTCCGCGGGAAGCCTGCTTCTCCCTCTCCCACTCCCCCTGCTTGTGTTCCCTCTCTCGCTGTATCTCTCTCTGTCAAATAAATAAAATCTTTAAAAAAAAAAAAAAAAAAGAACTCTGAAGATCATAACCCACCAACAATTACTTGTATGTATGCAGTGCTGAAACTTGAATTAGGAATAAAGGTAGTTAAAATTTAGGTGGGTTGTTCTGGTATCATTATTTACTAAATTTTAGGAATTATTAAAGGACGCCTACCTGCATTTCTGAATGCTCCTTTAACAAAGCAGAGTCATTTGAAAATATGAAAAAACAACAACAACAACAACAACAAAAAACAAAACCACCCAAACTGGCAAAAAAAAAAGAAAGTCTTGGTAATAACTAATGAAAGATTCAAGGAGTTTATAGTCTGGATGTTTAAAATTTTAAGTCAAAAATCAAACAGCAACAATAACCACAACTAACCTGATTGCAAATGTTGATGTCAACCCCATTTTTTATGTAGTCAAGGGCCTTTTCTAGGTGTCCAGCTCGAGCTGCTCTTAAGTAACTTGCATTGGCATCAGACTAAAATAAAAAAGAAGGACATTTTGATGAAAAATGAAACTCATAGATATGTTAGAACTATTCAGCTTATACTCCAAACTAAAAAGAAAGATTTTTAAATTGAACTATTATATTTCTAACATGAAAATACTCTTAAAGGTCTTTGTAAAGTCACCAGGAAAAGGACAAATTCTTGAAAAGTTAGTTTCAAGTGTACAAAATTACCCCTTGTGTGATGTCATAACCGATCCTGAACTGAAAGAGAAAATCTCCCATACCATGTAGGTACCTTAAATCAACATACGATTCCTGGAGAGTAAAGAGCAATCCCATTAACTTCCTGGTGGTCTGATTATGAAAATCTCACTATTCTGTTTTGTCAGAAACTTCACATCTATTCCATTCTTTCATATTTAACTATTATAAACAATTTTTCAATTCGTAGCTTCACAAATACATTTAATGTTGTTATACTAGTTTAACAGGAATTTGGAGATGTTCTCTTGGATTTTCCTACAGCCCATAGCCATATGTTGGAACACAGGATGTATTTGAAAAGCATTTATAAATGTCTACCCAAATTGTGAAGCATGCTTTCCATATATTTTCAAGCAAGCTAAGGTCACCACCTGAGAAAACTCTATTAGGAGCATTAGCAGGAGCAAATAAATAAATACACATAAATTTAAAAACAACAAACACCAAATCTGTAATTCATTCACCAAAAACTTACAACTCTTGCCTTTCTGCTAAACTCTAGTACCTACGATTGCAGGGTTGAAACCACCTACTAGTGAAATCTTTAACAGAAAGGAAAGACTTCAGAGTTGGATCTGCACAATTTGGAAAGGAGTCCTCATCCGTGCAGGACACCACAGAAGCAGGTTTTCCTGAAAGGGGAGCCAAAACCATCTGCCGCTAGTTATCAATGCAATCATGCAGGGTGTGGCTTAAATAACAGAGGAGATTGTCTTCTTTCAGCCATTTGGAGAATCCCTTCAAAGCCCCCGTTCACAGGCCACCTCATCTGGAAAGCCTTCCCAGACCTCCCGGGCAGAGATGAATGCTCAGTGCTCCCACAGCATTAATTTCATTAAGCCCTCTTGGTATTTCTCACACAGCATTATAGTTTTGGGTTTACCTGTCCTTCTTCCTCCCTAAATTGTAAGCCCCTTGAGAACAAGCAGAGGCAGATCAAGGGGCAGGCAACTGGAAAGCAGACAAGATGCCAATCTTTGAGGGATGCTAATTCATCCCTGGAAATGTAATTGAGCTGAAGGAAATCCCACCTCTCAGAAGGGTCTTTGGTTCTGGTGTGGGTCAATTTAGTTAAGATTTGACTTGCTCAAGTCCTCGAAGGAGAGGCGTCCATCTCTATAGTGTCCACCCTTCTCATGTATAGCAGTATGCCTCTCTGAGGGACTATCCCTTTTCCTCTAAATCAGGCCTTCCCAATCTCAGCACCACTGGCACTTTTTTTTTTAAGATTTTAAGTAATCTCTACACCCAACGTGGGGCTCAAACCCACAACCCAGAGATCAAGAGACACACGCTCCACAGACTGAGCCAGCCAGGTGCCCCTACTGGCATTTTGATCCAGGTAATTCTTTGATGTGGGAGATAGTCCTGCTCGGTGTTGATGTCTACTAGCATTCCTGGCCTTTACCAACTATCCCCTATTTATGACTAGTAAATATGTATCCTGAATTGCCAAATTTCCCTTGGCAGCAGGGGAGGGAGGGACTTCCCAGCTGAGAATCACTGCTCTGAATAAAGAGTAAACCAATTTATTTACAGATTGTAGGCTTCCATAGGCTTAAATCTTTGGCCTGAGTTACCACATGCCTTGACCTACCACAAGCCAGTGACTATAGTATAACATTCATCTTTCTGTTTCCCCTGCAATTAGAAGCATTCTGGCCCATAGCAGGTGCCTACAAATGTCTTGTGAATGAATGAACCAATAAGTAAGTAAATTGTGTGGAAGTAACTGTATTAATTAAAATACTGCCTGCAACACTACAGGAAGTCTTCTTCACAACAACAGCAGCTATTTCAATGGAGAACCTGCTGGAATACCAAGCTGACCGCCAGAGATGATAAACGAAGCCACTGAGTCAGGTACCTGGGAACACACGCAGCTATGGCCAAAATAAAACTGGGATTTGAATCAAGCATGCAGATCATTTAATCAGAGCTTCAAATAAGACAAAGGACAAACCAAAGTTTCCAGGAATTTCAAGAAAAATAAAATACGATTTTTAAAGAGGCTCACTACTTTGAGATGGTTAGGGTTTTCTTGTCTGGTTTAAAGTTCAGTTAGAAACAAATTCCCTATGCAAGGATGGCTCATTGTACCATAAAACATCACCTTCTTTGTGCCTGCTCAATGACTTATCAGTGAATTTGCCCAGAAGGGCTCTGATGCTGTTATGGGAACAAATGACATCAGTCTGCCTGGATATTTCAACTGCCAGAGATAACAACGGTGAGTAAAGCATCCCCAGTTCTGACTTAGAGTGCATAAAAACAGCCGCTAAAGAAGTTCAAAAAGAGGTATCATGATTCAAGGTAAGCCTCTGCATTCATCCCACATCTGAAAAGTTTGGCAATTGTATATACCGTCCATTTACCTCTCAGAATTTTCCTACCAGACTCTCTAAAGCAAAGCCAACTACAAACAATATAAACCAAATTTTCTAATTCAGTGGTTCTCTACCTATTTGGAGTTCAGATTCTTTTGAGATTAACAAAAGTTACGAGTAAATTCTTTTCCTCCAACAATTGCACATGTATGCATCCATACACCAAATCTGCATATACACATCAAATCTGCATGTACACACATAATTTGCACACTCATTTCATGTGGTTTAGGATTGCCAAGGCTTCTCATGGATTCCTGTTTAATAACACCTACTCTAGGGACGCTGGGGTGGCTCAGTCGGTCAAATATCTGCCTTCGGCTCGGGTCACAGTCCCAGGGTCCAGGGATCAAGTCCTGCAACAGGCTCCCTACTCAGTGGGGACCCTGCTTCTCCCTCTGTCTGCTGCTGCCCCTGCTTGTGCGCTATCTTTCTGACAAATAAATAAATAAAATCTTAAAAAAAAAAAAAAAAAAGAACACCTACTCTAACAATAAAGGGTTTCTGGCAGATACTTTCACTGTATCTATTTCACCCAGCGACCCTGGTACCAGATAATTCTCTGAGGTAGCTAGTTTATCACCTGAGAACTTTAAGAACAAGAGGAAAGACACAATTTTTTTCTTCACTTTTCTCAGCTCTCTATTACATACAGGCATGCTGAACACACGAATACGTAACAATCAGCCACTGTATACTTCAAAGAAAGAGTATGGGGGGAGGAAGAGGGAGGAAAATACAAAGAAAAAGCAAGAGGAGGAAAATGAAATCTGCCTTGAAGAAAAAAGACGACTTAGGAAGTGAAGTTATTCATGACTACAGAAAAAGAACCAAGATCCTCCATTTATTGTCAAGCACCTGCAAGCAATGCAGCCACATCTTCCTTCCACGAATATCCGTTGAGTCCTGCCAGTGTGTTAGTCGTGCCAACACCTAGGTGCGCGGCGGCGAGCGCAGCAGAACGGCACCAATGAAGACTTGCTTGCTTTCACCTCACTCTTAAACTTTTCCAAATCATGGTGCTTAGGCGGCAGGGTAAATAATGGATTCTTCACTATTTTATTCTCAAATTCTGCCTATAGTACCTATACCATGTTCTTTATTTCCTTAATGCTAAAATATATATAAGATTTTGTATTTGGCTCAATATCAGTGTACTGCACCTCTTAGCTATTATTTCATTAGAAACTTAGGAGTTACTTTTTTTTTTAAGATTTTATTTTATTTATTTATTTGAAAGAGAGAGAATGAGAGAGAGAGAGAGCACATGAGAGGGGGGAGGGTCAGAGGGAGAAGCAGACCCCCTGCCGAGCAGGGAGCCCGATGCGGGACTCGATCCCGGGACTCCAGGATCATGACCTGAGCCGAAGGCAGTTGCTTAACCAACTGAGCCACCCAGGCGCCCCCTAGGAGTTATTCTTACCACAGGCTACAGCCTGCTTTTTCATCTAAAAGGTTCTATCATAACAATGCCTCTTAAGGCCAGTTTTAGATATAGCACTATGGAAGGAAATCAGGTCTCATGAGCTGAGCTCTGCCACATGAAAAGTCCTACAGAGGAGGTCACCCCTAAGGAGTCAGTTGGCATAAAATGAATATAAGCAGATTGGTCAGCATTTTTTCCCCCTAGATGATCAAAGTCTGAAGGAAGAATCTGGAAAAATGATAATATCTTTCATCACCATTTCATGTCTTATCTACTTAGTCATTTTACTAGACAGGAAAGAAATATGAACCATGTGTGTTTTTCAAGGAAATAGCTGTAGGACAGAGTCAAGCATTATTATGAATTAACCTAATAACTCAGCATTCCCACCAATACTGGAATATTGATATTATTCAGCAGAAAGCAGTGATTGGAATGAATAAGCATTTCCCAAGTGCCAACCTCACTAGTAAACTAATATTTCATACAATGCCAGGAGCCACCAGAAGCTGGAAGAGGCAAGGAAGAATACACCAGAGCCTTTGGAGGGAGTAGGGCCCTGTGGACACCTTGATTTTGGACTTCTGGCCTCCAGAACTGTGAGTGAATTAGTTTCTATTGTTGTAAGTCAGCACGTTTGTGGTGGTATGTTATGGTGGCCCTAGGCAACTAATACAAATAAAGTACTATTACTAGCTTCATTTTACAGGTGAGGAAATTGAGCTATAGAAAGGATGCCTGATTTTCCCAGGGACACACAGCTTATGAATGGCAGAAATGTAAACTCAGATAATCTGACTCCAGAGTCTAGGCTGTTAATCACCACTTTAAGAAAGGGCTTAAGGCACCTGGCTGGCTCAGTTAGTTGGATGTCCAACTCTTGATTTCTGCTCAGGTCATGATCTCAGGGTCATGAGATCGAGCCCCACATCGTGCTCCATGCTGAGGAT